ATTTAAATGATAAAATAATATGAATCTTGAATGAAATCTAAAAATCAAAATAGGGAGACTTATTTATAAGTCTTTTTTCAGACACTTATGCTAGACTAAGTCCTGTGTAATTTCTTATAGAGACTCAAGTCTTATTTAGATAGGAATGTATTCCACAAGATCCTACATAAACGTAACGTGACGTGACACTTACATAAACGTAACGTAACGTACCATCTATATAAACGTAACGTGACACCTATACGTAACGTGACACCTACATAAACGTAACGTAACGTGTCACGTTACGTTTCGCAAACTTAATGAATTTTTGTTTTTTTAAATTGAATGTGAAAATGTTACTGGTTTATGTTGGTGTCACGTTACGTTTCATATAAATATGATTTATGGGAAATTGAATATTACCATAAATCATAGGTGTCACGTTACGTTTATGTAGGTGTCACGTTACGTTACGTTACGTTTATGTATATATGATCTGTGACAACATTCAATTTCCTATATAAGTGTCACGTTACGTACATGTGTCACGTTACGTACATGTGTCACGTTACATTTATATAAGTGTTATGTTACGTTACGTGTATATAGATATGACTATGATAATATTTAATTTTCTATATATGATTTTACTATTATTTATGATATTGACAACTAATATTGAGAGTAAATGTGTCAACAAATTTTTCACATGATTTATGAGAACATAAAATTTTTAATAAAATTATATGTATAATTAGTCTCCGTAATAGAATTTATAAATAATTTTTTCATCAAAAATGTGAAAAAATATAAAGGATAAGAGTAGGGAAGAAATTAATTTTCCATAATAAAGCAACAAAACACGCCATGTGAGATCCTTTACACGCAAAACTTGATACCTTTCGCATCCCCAAGTTTTTTCATTGGTATATCCATCCAAAAACACAAGTTACGAAAAAAAAAAAGTAAAAGATAAAAAATGCTTTTCTTGCCGACTGATCTCAACAGAAAGAAGTTTACAAAAATGCTAGAGGCCTCAAAAATTCTACCAAAAGTTTTACCAAATGTCTCACATGGGTGTGGGACCCACATGGGACCCACATTGTGTGGGTCCCACACCCATGTGAGACATTTGGTAAAACTTTTGGTAGAATATTTGGGGTCTCTAGCATTACTCAGAAGTTTAATGTCAAAATATCCATCCAAAAGCACAAGTTACGAAAAAAAAAAAAATACAAAAAGGTAAAAGATAAAAGATAAAAAACGCTTTTGTTGCCGACTGATCTCCACAGAAAGTTAGTTTAATGTCAAAAGGTACTTTAGAAAACTCTAAATTATAAACATATTATGTGAAATTTGATTAAAATTCAAATTGTTTGTTATAATTTTATAAATTACATTTTATTTTTTTGAGATTTTTAATTTTATAATAAATTATCTATTTTATTAATAAATTAGCAAGTCAATTAATAATTTTTAATGACGTTAAAATATGTTTTAATTAATAATTTAAATTTTACTATTGTATAGAAGAGCGATTATGAATTTTATTTTTTTGTTAATTTTGTTAAATAAAAAATTTTGATAAGAAAATATTTGTAATTTTCTAAATTATATGGGACAATTTATATTTTAAACCAATCTTATGAAGTGTATTTGTAATTTACTATTTGGAAAATTATGAACAAATAGTTGTGATTCCTTTTTTGTACTAAAATCACTACTTTGTGAAGAATAATCTAAATGAGTGTTGTTATGTAGGAAACACTATGGCACCCATCCTTTGAAGGGTGTGCATTATATACACCTTATAACTAAAAAAAATAGTATAATTTTAATTTTTGAGTCATAACAAAAATATATATATATATATATATATATAATTAAACGCAATATGAAACATAATTAAAGAATTCATACTAAAACAATGTTATAACTAAAGAAAAAAAATTAGTCATAACTAAAGGAAAAAAATAACATAACTAGGAGTGCATATATATTATAAACCATTTTTAAACGGGTGTATATTAGAATCTTTCTGTTATATATGTATCATTACATATATAATAGAGGTTTCAGATAATTAATTTTGTTTTATGCCTGGCAAGTCAACCATGGAAGCGATTTATCTTTTGAGGAGAGTAATAGAAAAGTATAAAGAAAAGAAAAAGAGACATTCATATGATTTTTATTGATCTTAAGAAAGCATATAATAGAGTGTATCGGGATATGATTTGGTGGGTATTAGAGAAGAAATTAGTGACAAAATGTTATATTAATGTGATTAGGAATATGTATGAATGTGTGATGACCATTATTAGATCACTTGCTGAAGAGATGAGTGAATTTCGTGAATTTCCAATTACTGTAGGATTATACCAAGGATCAACTTTAAGTCCTTATCTTTTTACTTTAGTTATGAATGAGTTGACGTGCAATATTCAGGATGATGTGCCATAGTGTATGCTTTTTGTAGATAATATCGTGTTAGTTGATGAAATTAGAGAAGGAGTTAATACTAAATTAGAGATTTAGAGAAAAAAAAACTTAAATCTAAAGAATTTAGAATAAGTTGAACTATGACAGAGTATATGGAGTATAATTTTAATAACAGTCACAATGGAAGTAGAGAAAAAGTGAAGATTAAGAACTAAAAACTATCTAAGAGTGAACATTTTCGTTATTTACGATCGATTATTACAACGATTGGGGTTGAAGCAGATGTGGTCTATAGAATTAAGAGAGGTTGGCTTAAATGGATGAGTGTGTCTGTAGTACTGTGCGAAAAATGAGTACCAATTAGACTAAAATGAAAGTTCTGTAGAACGGCTAATAGACCAACGATATTATATAGGACGGAATGTTGGGTAACTAAGAAACAACATGTAGATAAGATGAGTGTTACTGAGATGATGACGTTAAGATAGATGTATGGCAAGACTAAAAAAGACATAGTTAAGAATGAGTATATTCAATAATGGATAAGAGTTGTACCAATAAAAGATTAGAAGATTAGTTCTAAGATAATAGATTGAGATAGTTTGGTCATATACAATGGAGACTAACAGAGATAGTAGTGAAGAGATGAGATACAGTGACAGTAGGTGGTAGTATTAAGGGAAGGAGTAGACCTAAATTGACGTAGATTAGTATAGTAAATAGATATATTAATCTCCTTAATTTGACTAAGAAAATAATTTTAGATAGAGTCGAGTGGAAAAAAGTAATTACTGCAACTGACTCCATTTGATAAATTTTAGGTTTAGTTTGGTTTGATTTGCTTTGATTTGGTTATATGTCTCGTTACATCAACTTTATTATATGTATAAAAAAATACAATAGTACAATATAAATTTCATGTGTATATATATATATATATATATATGAGATTTTGTTAACATGGAATCTTAATGGTTTTCAGATGTATAATCTTTTTAACATCTGTTTTAAAAAGGCACATAAGATATATCCTATTTTACAAAATAATAGTGAGTTTTATTATCTTAGATAGATTATCTCAGGTGATGAATTAGATCCATCTGCTCTTAACATTCAAATTATTGATAATTTCAAGGTGCAATAATTTTAAAATATGATTCAATCAATAAATATGAATAATCTATGACATAGAGATGAAATTTTTTTTTGAATAGAGGATCTTGTGCCTTATGCTCTAGGACTAAATAATAACAAATTGTGGGTGTGTTTGGTTTGTATTTTTAAATAAATTTTTTATAAAAAAATTTAGGGAGAGAGTTTAGAAAAAAAAAAATTGGATAGCGTTTGGTAGAGTTTTAGAATTATGATTTAAGAATAGAGTTATATTTTGAGTTTGTGAGTTTTGAAATTATAATTTGAGTGAGGAAAATTTATTTAGTTGTGAGTTTTGAAAAGAGTTTTAAATTGAGTTTAAATTGAATGATGTGACATATGATATTTTATACAAAAACTACAATTCATAACCAAACACACAACCCAAAATTCTATACAAAACTCATAAAAAAATTTAAAAATTTTCATAAATATTTTCTTTTGTAATATAAAAATAACAACTGGAAAAAAAAAAACCGAACACTGTTCCAATCAACCGGCCGGATGACTGGTGGGATGACCGGTTAGCTTAAATTTTCCCGCATTGGATAGAGTTTTCAAAATTGAGTGTGGAATTAATTTTTGAAAATGCTAAATAAACACCACACTCAAAAGTGAGTGTGTAACTATATTTTGAAAGCTCCACTAGACGAAACCTTGGTTTGTATGGTTATATATTTTGAAAATAGTTTTGGAATTTGAGAGTTTGGAATGATTTGATATTTTGTTGTAGTTGAGTTGATGTGTGTGAGAAAGAAAAAGTGATTGAGAATGAGAGGAGAAAAAAAAAGTGATTGATTGATGTGTAGGAGAGAGTAATTTTAGAAATTTAAAAAAAAAAAATTGAATCAAATAAAATTTTTAAAAAAAATTATTTTTTGAGATACAAATCAAACAAGCCTGGTATATTTCAAAAAGTACAAATAAAAAAATTAAAAAGATTGAGTATTAAAATATAATAAGTTGCATACTTTAACAATCAATTAATACAATTAACATATTTGACTATGAAAATGTTTAGACTCTTAAATTATAACTCTTAAATTTATCTCCAATAAAATAGATTTTTTTTAACTAGTTTTTGATTTAGTTTTGAATCAATCAGATCCAACTCTTATCAAATTATTATGAATAAATGTAAAAATAATATTTTAAAATTTTCTAAATAAACACAATTAACATATTTGACTATGAAAATGTTTAGGCTCTTAAATTATAACTCTTAAATTTATCTCCAATAAAATAGATTTTTTTTAACTAGTTTTTGATTTAGTTTTGAATCAATCAGATCCAACTCTTATCAAATTATTATGAATAAATGTAAAAATAATATTTTAAAATTTTCTAAATAATTATTATTAATATTATAATTATTTTTGGAATTCCTAGCTACTCTCTTCCTCCCCTCTTCTGACTATAAATATGGCTACCCAGCTCCTTGGTTTTCCCCCTCTTCTCTCTTCACTTTATAGGATAATTATATATTGCACCGTTCACTTCCTCTTTCACCATCCTCTCTGAGCTCTTCCTCTCATTTTCAGAAACTTCTGTGAATAACAGAGCCAATGGGTGAGGAAGCTAAGCAGGTAACTAACTATAAAGGTTCAAATATTTTTAATCCCATTTGGTTTTTTGGGTGCTTTGTTTTAATTCATGTTATTTATTTATTGAAATGGAATGGAACAGGAACAAGCTAAGGCAGAAGCAAAACCAGAGGAGAAGAAAGAAGAGAAAACAGAGGAAAAGAAAGAAGAGCCAAAGCCACCCGAGCCTTCTGTACTATTTGTGGACTTGCATTGCGTGGGATGTGCAAAGAAGATTGAGAAGTCCATCTTGAGGATTAGAGGTCTTTCTTGAACTTTTGATCTCTTAGTGAGGTTTAGAAGTTTTCGATCAACTGAACTAGCTCAATTGATTAGTTTTATTTTTATTTTTATTTTTTTATATATGTGATTTGATTAATGAACAGGTGTTGAGGGGGTGGAGATTGATATGTCAAAAAACCAAGTGACAATAAAAGGAGTAGTGGAGCCTCAAGCTGTATGTACAGAGATAATGAAGAAAACCAAGAGAAGAACTCAAGTCTTGTCTCCATTACCTGCTGCTGAGGGTGAACCTATACCAGAAGTCGTTAATTCACAGGTCTCATGCACCACCACCTTTCCGACAATTTTTTTTTTAAAAAAAAAAATCACGATCTGAATTCTTGTGCAAATACTAAGCCAACAATTTTATCCCCAAAATGAAATTTATGAACAAGATTTACTGTGAGTACGACCTACATCACCATATAATTCATTTTCAGAGTACTTTTTAAAACAACAATGCTAGTACTAAAAATTATTCAAATTTAAATCTTATGTTATGGGAGTTGTACTTAAAAATGATTTTGGAAAACAAATGATGTTTTTGTGTCTAACTTCTTGGCGCCTAGCATTACTATTCTCCAATTTTAAATAGTTTTCATCTTTGCTGATTTGTGGTGTTCCTTTGTTGGTTTAGGTTATTGGATTAACAACCGTGGAACTTAATGTGAACATGCATTGTGAGGCTTGCGCTGAGCAACTTAAGACCAAGATACTCAAAATGAGAGGTACTAATTAATTTGTGTATTAAGCTGACTAGGTGGAGGTCCCAGTTTATACTTTTCCAAAAACTCAGGCAGTTAATTACCAATCACAATACTGATTGCTACACATCACATTAAATTTGAATTAACACTCTACACTCCATTATCTCATCATATTTTGGACTAATTTTTCTTAGAATACAATTTTTTCCTCTTGAATAGTTTAGGGGATGCCTAAAAAGTCACTTTTAATGTTTTAGAAAAAGTTTGTTTAAAGGGTGTTTCCTAATGTAAGCTAAAAGTATTTGCGGGTTTTAAATGCGGTTGTATTATATGTATCAATTAGTATATTAATTAGTGTGTCAACATATGCTATAATATTACTATTTCAAAACTATGACCTTATTCATTATATAAATTATAAAAATCTAATACCTCTAAAATTATATCACATCATTTATCAATACACTAATTAATATATCAATCAGTACATATTACATTATTTTTTTAAATGCGGCCAAAAAGAAAAAGCGGGTTATTGTAAGTGTAATCCAAAGGTCACAAATCTTTCATGAACATTTTCATGAAAGACTTTTTATGATACCTAGCATTACTATATTACTATTTCAAAACTACGACCTTATTCATTATACAAATTATAAAAATCTAATACCTCTAAAATTATATCACATCATTTATCAATACACTAATTAATATATCAATCAGTACATATTACATTATTTTTTTAAATGCGGCCAAAAAGAAAAAGCGGGCTCGATGAATTATCATCAGCCAATGAATAAAGATTATAAAGTTGTCTGTATGGATTCATTACTTTGTTTGCTATATCCATGACTTCGTTTATTACACTCATAATTTTGTGCCAATATATTGGTACGACTCAATTGATCTCACTGAATTTGAAAAATTCATTCAATTTTTTTTTAAATACATGTGTTTAATTAAAATTGACCCTAATAACTAACCAAAAAAATAAAAAAAAACTCTACTTAAATTCACTTAGAATAATTGGATCACTTTAAAAAATTTCAAACCATCTTTCAAAAACTAAATTTATCCATGAATTCTGATATTAGTTGACGCACACATAAGTCAAACACGATCATAAAAAATATAAATTAAATTAAAAAAACCAAGCCCAAAAACCAATTTCAGCGAGCCTACTCTACCGACCGCCATGTACTTTAGATGTTTCAAAAATAACCCTAGTAGTTTGTGTATTTGCATTTATATATATATTTATATATATAATTATTAGTATGAACGGAAAAAAAGATTAAAGTTTTATTTTTTATTTATTATTTTGGGATTTAAACTATTTAATTTGTTATGTAAAATCGTTGAAAATTCGTTTATAAGTTGATTGGATAGGAGTAAAAAAATTTGTTTTTTCAAAACTCTGGAGTTGCCACTAAAAATAGGTATGTCAGGCATACCAAGAGGACTGAAGTTGCAGTGGTGTTTGTTTGCATTTGCAGGAGTGAAAACAGTGACAACGGAGCTAAGCTCAGGGAAAGTCACGGTGACCGGTACAATGGACCCGAATCGGCTTGTCGATTATGTTTACAGACGTACCAAAAAACAAGCCAAAATTGTCCCCCAACACCAACCCCAACCTGAACCCGAACCAGAGAAGCCAGAAGCAAAGCCAGAAGAGAAAAAAGAAGCAGAAAAGCCGGCTGAAGAACCAAAATTGGAGGAAGAGAAGAAGGAAGGAGAAACTGCCGAGAAAAAGCCACCCGAAGAAGAGAAAAAAGAAGAGGCCAAGAAACAAGAAGAAGAACAGAGCATGGTTATTACTAGTGATGAGCAGAGCATGCAGGGAATGACGGGTTATTATCAGCCTCTTTACTTCATTGAGAGAATCCCACCACCCCAGCTCTTCTCAGATGAAAATCCTAATGCTTGTTGCATTACTTAGATTGAAACTTTAAAACTATTTCATCACAAGCTTTTGATTATGTGATAATATATAGCTTCCAAGTTCCAATACTACCTCGTTATATGATCATCAATACATAACATAATATAAAGATGGTGGATGGTTTGGGTGAATGGAATGATATTATGTAAGAAAAATGATTTAGAGCTCTAAAAAAATAACAAATCAATCAACACATCAATTAATAATACATCTATTTCTTACAAATGGAATGATATTATGTAAGAAAAATGATTTAGAGCTCTAAAAAAAGATCTCTAATGGAGTTCTAATTTGTCTTTTTCTTTTTTCTTTTTTGTCTTTTACTTCACTATTTTTTTTTTTTTTTTTTTTTTATTTTTTAGCTGGACAGCTCATTAGAGCTATACTGCAGAAACTCTAATTAGAGCTCTGCAGCAGCTCCGTATTATGTAATTATTGTGTTTTGTGTAACATGTATTTATATATATAATATATGTCTCAGGAAGCACACAATGTTGTTATCTTAATTGTTCTTGTTGTATTGTAGTGCCCATCCTTGCTTTTAATCATAGGATCATGTGGATAACTTATGTTTAGATAGGTGTAATCTCATTAGTTGAGCCACCACCTGGCTAGTGTGACAAGGAGTAAATCAGCTTTGCAATTACGAATATGGGCTGAAATCTAAAACAGAGTGTCATACTGAAGTAGGGAAACGTATTGAAATGAAGAGTCAATAACAATATTAACTAATGAATAAATCTGAATTAGAGAGATTCTCTTGGAGAACGAATAATATTGAGAAAATTCTCAATTTTTATTAATCAAATATCAATCCTATTATCCTAAAACTTACAACTTTATTTATATTAAAATAATTCTTGCTAGTCAAGAATATTTAAAAGGGAAAATACAATATTAAGAAATAAAAAAAATTCTTGAATCAAACAATTTTATTCTTGTAAAATAAAAAAATAAACAGGAAACTTAAATAAATAAAAAATTAAAAGATCCTAACCTTAAATAATAATCCATTGCCATCCCTACTCTTGGAGAACGAATAATATTGAGAAAATTTTCAATTTTTATTAATCAAATATCAATCCTACTACCCTAAAACTTACATCTTTATTTATACTAAAATAATTCTTGCTAGTCAAGAATATTTAAAAGGGAAAATACAATATTAAGAAATAAAAAAAATTCTTGAATCAAACAATTTTATTCTTGTAAAATAAAAAAATAAACAGGAAACTTAAATAAATAAAAAATTAAAAGATCCTAACCTTAAATAATAATCCTAATCAAATATTAAAATAATAAAATAAAATATGTAATTTTTAAATTTCAATCTACATCAGGCACCAAGTAATTTGACTATGGTCACTGAGTTACCCAACTACGGTTTACACAAACTTAAGGAGCGATATACCTGCTAGTATGAGTAAAGAGAGCCCCCGAAGTGAATAAAACCCCTAAAGAAAAGATGTATATCTAAACTTGGTCTAAAAAATGTTTGAGGCCCTTACGCTGTGTTTGGTTGGGGGATTTGGGGAAAGATTTGGAAAGGAAAAGGGAAAAAACATGTGAAATTAGGTGAAATATAGATATGTTTTATTCACATTTCACCTACCTTTTCCATTTCCTTTTCCAAATCCCTCCTTAAATCTCTCAACCAAACACAACATTAATAAAATCCTCACAATCTCATCCACATCGATATTGAAGTAGAATAATAATTGTCAAATACTTAATTATATAGAGCTCTACTTCCTTACTACATAATTAGAGGTATATTTAGAGATCTCAAATGTGAGACTCTATATTCTCTGAGGGTATGTTTGTTTGGGCGGACTGAATAAGGGGGAATTGTAATCCATCGGACTGTTAGTCCCAGGATACATTGTCCCCGGACTATTTGGTTGGATTGGATTTTTATCCTATATTTGTTTAGTCACGGGATTAAATGTCTGGATTGAACTATTTTTAGTGAATTCAATATTTAGTTAGACGAACTGGATAAGGATAAATGTTCAAAAGACTATTTTATCCTTGCAATTTATAATTTTTATTTAATATATAATTTTAAATTTATAATTTATAATTTAACAACACTAAAGAAATTTAATTTATAAGGCCATAATTTTTAATTTATTATTTTCAATTAAATTAAATTTATAATTTATATTTTTTATTTAATATATAATTTTAAATTAATGACAAGAAAAAATATTTTTATTTAATATATATATTAATTTTTTTTGAAAATTTAATTTATAAGGCCATAATTTATAATTTATTATTTTTAAATAAATTTAATTTATAATTTATAATTTTTATTTAATATATAATTTTAAATTAACAACACTAAAAAAATAATTTAATTTAATATGTAAATTTAATTTTTTAACAACACTAGAAAAAAATTAATTTATAAGGTCATAATTTATAATTTAAGTTTTTTGTTTAATATGTAATTTTAAATTAACAATACTAAAAAAATAATTTATAAATGTTCAAAAGACTATTTTACCATTTTTTAATTGTTTGCTAAGTAATAGCATGAGAGTAAAATGGACATTTTAGAGTCTAATCCCATGGGATACCAATCCCATGGAAACAATTCCATCCCCCCATGGGATAGGATAGTCTCACAAATATGGGACTAATAGTCCAGAACAAAAAAAAATAAAACAAACAATGGACTATTAATCTCACACCCTAATCCTTCAAAACAAACACACCCTTAGTTCTATATTTCTCCCAAAAATACCATCTGTTATCTTGTAAATCTAGCACTATGCACTTCATCTTGCAAAATTTTCCCCACGGACAAACAAATGAGAATACCTCTTAACCTCATTATGTTGTCATTTATATTTTTGTTTCTTTTATGTAGTTTAATTCCCTGACGTTAGATTCTCTATATTTACATTTTTATATCTTTTTATTTGAAACACTTATAATTATTAAATTATATCTTAACATTTTCACTTGATTGTTTTGGAATAATAGATCATCATTAGAAAATGGATATTATTTATAAAAAAAAAATGAATGTGACTAATTTGAACAAATAAATAAATAAGAATAGGTTTTTTAATTACAAAATTATGGCTGCCGCATCACTCTTACCTCCATTGAAAGAAGGACATTGTCCACGCGATTACTTTAGTCATTTGATTATCAGTTGCCATACACACTGGCAGGGCTAGAAATTCAATATAGAGGGAGTACACAGTAATCACAACATTCACTTTGCTTGGTTATCATTTTTTAAAAATATTTTTTAGAAAATTTTACTTTCTTATTTTTCTTTTTCTTTTTTTTTATTTTGACTGAATTTTTTTAATATTTTAAGTATTTTTCTTTTAATTTTTAGACATATCTAATATGAATATACTTAAAAAGTAAAAACTTGTGAAAAAAAACTTTTTAAAAATTCACTAAATACCAAAAATATAAAAAAATACAAGAATTTTGTACATTTTTTGTATTTTTATGTATTTATTAATTTTTAAAAATATTTTTCACAAATTTTTTACTTTTTAGATACATCTAAATAAGGTGCATCTAAAAAAGTAAAAAAAAAAATGTTTAAAATTTTAAAAATATTCACTCAAAACAAAAAAATACGAAAATCAAAAAATTTAATTTTCAAAAAACTTAATTCAAAAAATTCAAACCAAACACACTGATTATTTTTTTTTTTAATTTTATTTTCCCATAACAAGTGACAATGAGATATTATTAAACTTATACATTTTTTATTTTTATTCTTATTACAATTATCCTTATATTTACATTAAGGTGACTCATAAATCCACAAGCAATAACTAAATTTTATTAACCAAATAATCAATAAGTTCAATCCTATCAACTCAAAAAAAGTACTCCACAATGAGAGAAATAAGCAACTAAACAAATCTCATAATAAGAAATGAATAATTAATTGATTCAATTCTTACCTTGACCTATCAATTAAAAGTGTACAAGAATAATCAAAATAATAAAATAGAGAATTTTTATAATTTTAAAAAAGCAAAAAATTTTACATAATTTAAAAAGGGTCACTATTATAATTTTATAAAGGACACATAATACATAATCTTTATCTATATGGATAATAGTATAAATATTAAAAGTTTAGAGGAAACACGACCCTCCTAGGCTTTAGGTGGCTTCCGCCCCTGGCCATGCATGTAGGGATGGCAATGGATAACCTACCCTGTGGGTATCCATGGAGACCCAATCCAAATACATGGGTTTCCCATTTTTTTTTTTATCCATTGGGTAGGGTAAGTGATATTCTTTAAATATCCATAGGGGATGGGTTGGGAATGGGTACCCACTAATTTCCCCATATGTTTTTTTTTTTTTTTTTTTTTTTTTTTATTTTTTTTTTTAAGATTCACAACCAAAACTAAATATGCATTCAATCTTTTTTCTTTTATTTATTTATTTATTTTTTCAGGTTCACAACCAATTTTATTTATTTATTTATTTATTTATTTATTTTTAAGATCCACAACCAAAACTAAATATACATCTAATTTTTTTTATTATTATTTTTTATTTTTAAGGTTCACAACCATTTTTTTTAAAATTTTTAAGATTCACAATCAAAGCTAAATATACATTCAATCTTTTTTCTTTTGTTTTTCTTTTAATTTTTTTTTTAAGGTTTAAGGTTCACAACCAATTTATTTATTTTTTAAGATTCACAACCAAAGCTAAATATACATTCAATCTTATTTTATTTTATTTGGCTCAACAATAAAATCAAATACACATTAATTAACATTGTCACATTATTCTTGTCAAATTTTATGCATATCTAGAATTTTTTAAATTTATTTAAAAAAAATTAAGGACATTGTCTAGTGTAGGTTTCGGTTTGCTTTTCTATGTTATTTTATTTTGTTGTGTATTGTAATTTTCAGAATAGTTTGCTTGTTCTGAAATTTCAATTAACGAGTATGAATCTATTTGTTTTATGTTATCACACAATTTATACAACATATATATATATATATATATGAATGTATTTGAAAATAAGGAAATTGTAGAGAATCAAAACAAGCATGAGTTGTGATTGGTTAGAAATGATGGGTACATAGATTTATTTGCTAGAAAAACAAAAAGGGGATACAAAGTCATACTAAATAATTTTTTT